TAATGTTAAATGTCTGTGATTTGTCAATTTAATCAATTTATTATGTATATATTTAATCCATATATTTTAGTGGGCATATGGCTACACTAAGTATAGCCGCTATACTACATTGCTGATCAATACTGTACACGAAAAACAACAACAAAATCAATACATACCTACACTTGAGCTAAATGTTTAAAAAATATTTCGCGTAAACAAAGTTTTTAGCAAAAAATTGAAAATATTTTTTTTACTATTCACAAAGAAATATAATATAACAAATATAATACACTATTTATCAACAATTGTCATTTAAATAGCGCCAAAAACATAAACACATATACTGTATGTGATATACAAAACACGGGCACAACATCTGTCCTAAGACTGATAGAGGTTGAAGTGAAATACCGCGGGCTTTATATACCCAACAAATGTTATACATGGATGGCATGTAAAGCCTGTTTTCATGGCAATAATTTGCTATACTGCATATTGCGATCTAGATAACACACATATCTGTGTACAAATGTATATACAAATGTTTGTGTGTGATAAGAATGCACGATTAAATTATTCAATGTCGTCATAAATTAATCACTTTTGTTGTTTTTCTATTGGCTTTTACTTTTTACTTGAATATTTCCTGTTATATCAGATATAAGGAGTTTTATTACATTAAGCCTAAAAATTTCTGACCTAATATTCAGGAAATATGAATGTACAAGTTTGCTTTTACAGGAGTTTCTAATGTGATACTTTGTACATTGTACTTTGTAATTTGTGTATTTGCAAAATCGCGGTCATAAAGAGATGTGATTATTATTATTATTTGATCCTAATATTTTTTAAACAAAAGATACTAGCCTAATTCTCAGAATCATCAATATAATACTGTATATGCAAAATAATATGTAGCTCAAACTTATTAACATTACAATAACTTTGAAATAAAACTCTACTAGTTATATATAGTTATACTGTATATGGGAATCAATTGTTATAAAAAAATTACAGTAATTAAATTATGAACAATGTCAATTTGACATATAAAATATTTAACATGTAAACATTATAATTATTTTTTTATTACAAAACAGACACCAATTGTGTCCAGTAAAGTGATTAGCATAACACTATTAAACACGAATCATAATTAATAAAACATCATTAAATATTGGCCAACAAAATCTATAAATTACCATAATCACTAATTAATTTATTTATACAGAATGTTTATATAGATGTTTGGCAAATAATACTGTATTAACCTAGGTTGAGTGCACGACATTTGAAAATAACAATAAATTCAATTTGAGACAAAGAGCAATTATTTAAATAAAATATATTAGCTCCCTACTAATTCCCATTAGTAATAAACACACAATCTGTAAATTATAAATTAATTAAAAAACAATTAATATCAACAATAATTATGTTTGGATTACATAGTTAATAAATTGCAGCATGGTGATCTAAATAGGCGGGAACATGACACGGAGGTCCGTAACCTTTCTTTAGGAACGTGAGTCCCCGTTACGGTCCGCAGGTCTATCTTACCCCGCGGTCACCCCGTGCCAGAGGGCCCCTATGCCCATGGTAGAATAAAATGTGTTGGTTAAACAAAAATGCATTAGTATCAATTAATTAAATATTTTAGTTGTTATAATATTAATAATTAATTAGATAATAAATATAAATACAGTATACTATGGCATTAAAATATGGCATTTGACTACATAACTATATTTATCATAGATTTAGCCTACCTTATACAGGCACCTGTATCTCTGTCAGGTTCAATAAAACCACCTATTTCAATTACAATAACGGCGCACACCTGACTTATCTAAACAATTATAATGTATATCGATTAATAATTACACACTTTAACTAATTTAAATAATTATATTGAGTAAACCAAAAATTAAATGAATATAAGTAAATGAGAGCTTCTGTACGCAACTGAAACTACCGGCGCTCGTAATACTGTACTGGTATTACATAGAGTTATTTTTGGTATTACATAGTTAGTTTTTTACATAGTTATTATTACATCGAGTTATTTTCGGCTCATCACACGCTAAGCCCCTTATTTGGTGGCCAAATGAATGCTCACAATAGCATATACGGTATAATACAACATTTACAACAGCAACATATGCGTTACAAATACATATACAACAAATAAAAAATGATTAATTAATTAATAACCTTCAATATTTTTATTAATGTGACATTAATAATGTCAGTTGAATGCTCTTATGTTTAGTTTTGGACTTAACATTAGTTCCAAATGTGATCAAATATGTTCGCTAGAATACTCTTATATACTACTGTGTTGTAACAAATATACTAATATTATACTTATCTCATACACCTCTCGTTTAATACAGTATTTAACATATATTGTAGTCCGTAAAATGATCTAGCTACTATTTGTAATTTTAGTTAAGGCTCTAACTATGATTGAATAAGTATATTAAAAACAATACTACGTAAACATAACATAATCTTAAATAACATTTACACGGTTATAAAATAATCACACATATGGTTAACCAACTTAAATCAATGTAATTAGACCTATATCCTGTTTTTAAGTTATGATACTTTTAAAAATTGCTAAAATTCTTACAATTATTTTGCTAACCATACAAAAAATCTATTACACTCTTTTCCAATGGCTTTATATACAGTCATTAGCACAATACTCTGCATTTCACTTAAAAATACACAATTTACGGCCTTTATAGACGAGACGGCAAAAATTTTATTAACCCAAATTGTAGTTAACACATGGTCTAAAACATTTTGCAATTTAATTAAAATTTGTAAATGCTGTTAATTAGTTATTTACAATTGAAAATGTAATATAATAGTTTATAATCACGTCTTTAGCTGTATATAAGTTGTTATACCTGTCCATTGGAGTACTCCATCTATTGTCTCAATTTTAAACATGCTAACTAATTTTCAATCACCAACATAGCTAAACATAATCAAATCAACATTAAATTCATGTTAATAAACAATTAAAAGCATTTAAATTTGATCATAAATATTCATTTATTAATATATAAACTATTGTAAAAAATATACAAATATTTTATTAATGAGAAAGTACTATTTATTACAAATAATTAATTAAATTGTTTAGTTTCCTATAGTAATCGACACACAATTTGTAAATAATTTATAAATAATACATAAATATACACAACAATTAATGTTAACTATAGTGAGGCGTGAATTACATTGAATCGTATGGGAGTATTGGGATGGATGGATCTCACATGATCCGTAACCTCGCGCTTATTATCACACAACTGGTCGCAGACACAGCACTGGAACTGCTTATTCAGCGGCCGAGAGGGCACAGATGGTGGTGAGGGTGAAGGTACTGACGATGGCTTTGGCACTGATTTATCACTGTTTAACAACAAAGAAACAGACAATTAATAAAAACAATCAAATCTTACAAAAAAACTAATCAAATACTAACGCAATCAACGGCACATCGGCGGCACCGGTGGTAGACTTGTTGTGGGCATCAGTTCCGTTCATTTGTCGCTCTTCTTGCGCTTCTTCAGCGTTTGGAGCAACTCTTGTTTCGTTCGCATCAGTATTGCTGTTGTAATGGGAAGAGTAGATCACCGGATGAAGTGATGGTCACATCGAGAATAAAGACATTGGTTTTACACAATTCATGCGAAACACAACTCACGTATTGTTATCATTACTTGCGATCAACTCTTCGTCCGCTTGTTCTTCATCGACGCCATCGGCGGCCACACTGTCACCGCTCGCAGCACTCGGTGGTGAGCGCTGGCCATTGGTTCCAGAGTTGTGGCCATTGGTTCCAGAGGTGTGGCCATTAATTGTGGCCTTAGGTTTGCTAACTCTGACCGTCGCCGGTGTACTGCTGGTCACCTCATCGACGATCTGACAGTCGCTCTCATCGCTCAGCACTGGTTTAACGTCTAAAAGAATTGACAAAAATAAATGTAAACATTTTTAAACTTCATATTTTTAGATCTAGCACATTTTTGGTGGTGATTTATCAACTAGTACAGTTTTAGTTAGTGTTAGTTTTATAAGTGTTATAATCAGTAGTTTTTGCTTTGTCATAAATAATTACAACTGTATTAAAGTGGATAACAATTAAATTTAATGAACACAACAGAAAAGCGAGATGAATACAAACATGATCCTAAATGCAAACTAGATTTAAACTAGATAAATTAAAATTAAACAAAACAAAATAGTAATTAAGTTTAAAAAATACGAAAATTATCACAAATTTGCGAAAACATAAACAAAATCTGAAAAAATAGGAAAAATATTAATTACATTATTAATACATGCGTTAAACACAAACACCCGTCAAATCAAACCCTATCTAA